GTGTGTGTGTGTGTGTGTGTGTGTGTGTGTGTGTGTGTGTGTGATGTGCCGGTGTCCTGTGCAGGGTGTGCCTCACCTTGCATCCGATGCTTTCCTGGATAGACTCCTGCTGCGATCCTATACTGGGGGGGGCTGGGGCTGTACGCCTCCTTAAATTCCAGGGAAGTGGACTCAGTCTGTGTGGGAGGCACTCAGGTATTTATTAAAGGAGACCACCAGGACATGCTGGGGGGTAAATGGATGTTCACAGGAAAGCTCCTCAAAATTTTCTCTCTAGCGGTTTCCAGCTAAATGGGGCATGTCTTTGATTTCAAGATCAAAAGAGAAAGGCAGATTAAAAAAAACACTGTCGGAAGTGCTTTGCGTCTGGTTCGTTTGGTTCATATATCGTTGTCTGATGAAGTGTTCCGGCGAAAGACGCTTCAGTTCTCGGAGCTTGTTTTTCGCAAGGAGTGGCAGGTGCTTACTTGCCGAGATCTGTTGAAAGACTGTCCCGAAGAATGAGCTCGTTAGCCTCCTACAGCCTTCACGTGCTTCCACGAAGGCGAAAAATTTGCAATTGAATGAGCTTCACCCACTGTGCTGTCGGGCTGTTCCGGCAGCAGGCTCTTGTTCAAATGCTGCAGGGTGCCGGTTTTGCTGCCTTGCTGTACCAGTAAGGACCCCTGAGAACATCCAGGTGTTGGTTTCCCCCACTTGAACCCTGTGCTTGGGCACATGTTCATCCTGAGAAACCAACCCCGAGCTGACGGCGCCTCCGACAGGACAAACGCGGCGTCGTGGGATCTGTCCGGCCAGATCCGGACTCCCCTGTCCTTCCATGATATTCAGTGGCGATAAGGTCAAGAACCCAGTGGATCCCCTGAGGATCGGTTCTTACTGTAGGCAGGATGTTGCCACAAGAGTGAAGAGAGAATCGAAGCACTATCATTACTATCGCTGTCGTCCCCAGAGCCCGAATACTGTGCTTTTCGAAGGCTCATGCTGCCCCCCTGCTCCTGGTTTTGATCTTTACCTCGGGTTGTCCTTGATAGCTCTTTGCAGAGAATCTCCAAAGCGCAATCTGATGGCAAACAAAGAGTGAACTAAGGGCAGTGCTGTCTGAACACTCTGAAATAATGAATTATTTGTTTGCTCCCTGTGCAGAGGTCATCTGTAAATTGCCACGTGAGATCTAACACTTGATTAAACATTGAGCATCTGCTGTGTAAGCCTTCTCCTGGCCTTTTGGCTGGTCATATGCTTTTCGTCAATAGTGGATCAATAGTGCGTTTACTTGGACAGAAAATGGAAATCAAAGAACTGTGCTTCTGAAAATTTCTGCAGCCTCATCAAATAATCAGTCAAAACGTTGACTTTTGGTTTCATCACTGTGCTGTCGTGGAAATCCAAATTGCGTTTTCTTGCATTGAACATTTTTCCCCTCATTCTAGCAAAGGTAATAAAACCAGGTCAGGTTTGCAGATGGTCCAAAAAAAAAATATTTAGGGGGTTTGGCAACGTTTTTGGGGGGTTTTGGTTTTAATTTGGAAAAGTCCTGGGTAGAATTCGAGGAAGCGCTTACTGTATTGAAGAGCAGTGCAGAGTTTTGACCAGAGGTAGTAAAAACAAGCCGCGGTACACTATAAGTACAAACTGGGAAACGCCGAGCTGGAAGGCGCTGCTTCTGAAAAGGTTTTGGGGTTCATGCTGTCATCGTTTACACATAATTAAAAGCGGAGAATTTCAATCAAGGGATGTTGTCCTAGATTGGATAATGCAGTGGGAAAGCCGGATGTTATATATCATGTGCACTTTTGGTTGCCGTGTTACAGAAAATGTATGGTTGCCCTGGAATTGCTCCAGTGCAGATAAACTGGATACTCTGTGGGGATTATGGCTGACAGGCCGGAGGAAATGAATCATATTAGTCTTGAGACGAGTGCAAAATGAGATGACCTGAAAGCCCCGTCTTTACCCCAAGGGTTGTGGGGGTGTGGAACGGGATAGGCAGCCATGCCGGTAAAGCTGATGCAGTGCTTGCTCTCAAGACAGCTGGATGAGGGCCTAGGATCCATGCCTACTACCCAACAGGCTGGAGGATACCCGTCCTTTCTGTTCCGTCATAGTGGAATTGCAGGATCCTGTCATTGAAGGATCAGTAGATCGGTCGATTACTGGATCCTTGCCTTCAATTACCAATTACAGTTCTTCATTCATCTAATTAGCTTTTATACTCAACTGACAGTGTAGTCATGTGTAGGCAGGCAGTAGATCGTATTTGCAAATTATTCCTTCTTTTATTTTTGCGGCCAGTATCTGTAGGCACTGGCTGGGGGTGGCTGACGTGATGTGTGTGGTTTATCCCCATTCCCCCTGTTGCTCTGCTGTGTGTTACAAGACATTGTTTGCTATCTGGTCTTTTTCAAGAGCGTTTAAATGACACCTGTTGTTTTCAGCGTTTGTAATTAAGATACGAATTTTATTGTCCCCAGAGGGAGTTTTTTTATGGACACCCAGCACTCCTGTACATTTAAATAGAATTAGATTAGCAATTGCAAATTTAAGCCTCATTTTTTTTGACTGATGCATGCATTGAATAGTTTTGTAACATTATTTTCTAAATAAAAAAAAACCACAAATACCAAAATGTGCAGGTCCTTAAGCATTATTAGTGAAAATGGTGCAGACCTAGCGTTTTAATTTCTTGTAGCTCCTCAAGTGATCATTGGAAACCATTTCCTTCCTGTCTACCGAGGTCTCCTGAGAGCTTTGAAAGACTTCACACTTATCTCCTCATTTCACAGGCATCATGGAGAGCTGCTGTGGTCTCCTGACTCTGAAGAATGAACCAGGTAAGACAAGATTGCCTGTGTGCCTTCCTGTTTCAATCTGTGCTGGGCAGTGCCATGGTACCAGTGTACTCCTACAGTATTGTCTTGTACATGTGGCTCAGTCTGTGCTGGGCAGTGTTATGGTACTGGTGCACTCCTACAGTATTATCTTGTACACGTGGCTCAGTCTGTGCTGGGCAGTGTTATGACACCAGTGCCCCCTTGTATCTTGTCCATGTAGCTCGGTGTCCTCTGCAGTCATGTGCATGGACACCTCTGTGTATTTGTCCTGCTGTTGGGGAGTGATCAGTCCCTTCAGTCCCACAGACATTCACTGTGCTGGAATACCTCTCGGGAGCATGTCCATTTTTATTAAGTTCAACATCTTCGTCGGGACCAGTGGCACTCTGTAGTAAACTCGAAAGAGCCATCAAGCATAAAAGTCTTTGTCTTTTTGATATCTGGTATGAAATGTGTCCAACCTTTACAGTGACGTCCTCAACACCATTGCGCCTTGTTGGCTCGGCTCCAGGGAGTCTTGTTCTACTGCAGAGCTGGAACCCTGGCAGCGGTCCTTTCAGAAGAAACCCGAATGCTGACTCGGAAGGGTTTAGTTCTTAAATGCTTCAGGCAGGCATGCCAGGTGACCGAGGAGCCGCTGGTACCGTTTGGTTACAGCGAGAGATTTCGAAGCCAGCAGGTCAGGGGTACGGCTCGC